CCGTTTTCAGACAGTACATCTAGTAAGCGTGGCATTTTAATCTGTGAAGACTCTGTCTAAGACGATTTCGTGCAGCCTTTTCATGATAGCCATGTCCCATTTGTCCATACAGTTAAGTGTGCAAATGGCTTGAAGACCATGTACTCATTTTCAACAGAATGTGCACAAACCTCATTGAATGTTTGTATTAGAGGAATGTGTATGAACATGATGCATGCACGGTGGAGAGGGTGCCAGGCAGTATGTTACTGCCTTTTTTCTTTGCTGATGGCATAAATATCACCTACCCTCTTTTGCAAATTTGTAGAGACACTGCATGCCATTCTGCTGTGTTTCAAGCACCTCATGATTCGAGTTTTTGTAATCAAGGTATTCGACATCCTGCCATTGTACGGCACGCTGATGCCTGGCGAGTCAGACACCATCACCTTCACCTTCTACGGCCACGCCGACATCGGGAGCGAAGCCAAGGCGCTGTGCCACGTGGAAGGGGGCCCCTGTTATGAGCTGGCACTGAAGGGCGAGGCGTCCATCGTGCAGTACAGCTTCGACACCAAGCACATTGACTACGGCAAACGGGTACGCTGTCGGCAATCGCGAATCATGTTGTAGTTTGTGCTGTCTGTCCGCTAGAACAAGAAGAAAACGAACATGTGCCAAATCTAAACAGCATCCATTCACGGTCATTCGTCCTTTTGCTCCTTGCACTTTAGAAACTGGGATGATATGACACAAGTAATGATCTCACCAACCAGCTCCTTAGATTGATGAATATGCATAGTGTGCTTATTTAAATGGTAGCTTGTGATATGAGTATGTTCTAGAACTTCACCTTTCATTAAGTATGGTATCAAAAGACTTTAATTAAAATTCTTCTAATTATTTGGAACCTTAAGTGTAATATGATTGGTTAGAACAGATTGATGATGAATAATGATAATGCATGTGGCAATGAAACGATATAAAATGGAGTCCTTCTAATATAAGGAATTAGGAGTGTGAAAAATGGCGATTTGAAATTTTGTGGACTGTGGCAAATTGGAATAGTTTACCTATTCTAAATAGGCATTTTTTGCATGCATAGCTGTGTTGGGCCTTATGGAAAATTCCCACATACGACACGATCATGTTTTCCCCCAACTTTTGGCACAGATGTATGACCAGGTGGCCGAGGCGGAGATTGTCCTGCGCAACACGGGCAAGGTGGGCTTCGACTTCCAGGCGGTCCACATGGACCCCAGTGCTGCCCGGCGCCCTGTCCCTGGCCTGCCAGTCATGATCCCCCACACCGGCCACATCGAGGCCTACCAGGAACAGACCCTGCTGGTCAAGTTTCTGCCGGGCGTGCCGGAGAAATTCCACAAGAGCTTTGATGTGAGTTGCATTGCTCTGCCTGTGTTGAAAACGGCGATCTCACATTTTGTGCTGGAAATTCCTCAACGAGTCCATCAATCGAAATTCTTGAATTCATTGTTATTAATAGATTTGTGGAATTCTGGACCGGCCTATCCTTTTGACCCGTTAGTCCAAAATGCAAGTTGAATTTGATGTAAAAAAGGAGCCACTCACCAAAAGCATGTTTATGCGAAAAACTGAGACACACGAATGTGTCCTCTCTAACATAGGCAGTAAGAGACGTCAACGGCAAGTTAAAATTTTGAGTAAGCACTATTCGCCCACACAAGTCTTTGATGCAACTTAGCGTAAACATTTTAAAGTTAAGAACTTTTTGGAAACAAGTTTTTGAAAATTGGGCTTGTTTGAAGTGGTCTTGAACTTCTTATTTATGGAGATTGTTTGGACAACTTGCTCTTGAGATCCGTGTGAATCTGAATCCCTACTCGTCTCAAATTTGCAATATTTCTATTGATTTTGTACCCATCCTTTGTACCTTCAGATCCAAGTGGCCCACTTTGAGCCCGATTCCATCAACCTCTGTGGGGAGGGCGTTTTCCCCCGCGTCTCCCTGGACCTGCCCCGCTTCGGCGACGAGGAGGGCCTCTACTCCACCCTCCTGAAGGAGGCCAAGGAGCATCTGGGCAGGGACAGCCGCAAGGAGGGCAAGCCAGTCGGTGGAGGAACCGGCTTGGTATCCCCCATGCCCTCTCCCACGCCCAGGGATCCCTCGCACGAGGACGCCAAGTCCATACTGTCCATGCAGGTAAAGGGACGATTGTCAGAGTTAGAAATGGAATACTTTAACTGGTGATGTTGACGTAGAAATCTGGAGCCTGTTTGTTTCATGCCGGTCCGGATCGTGATCGGTGATCCGCCGCTGGTTCACTGGCACCAGAACCCGCCTGTTAACTGGATGGAGCAAACCAGCCTTGGGACCACTGTTCCAGATCCAGATCCGTGGGAAAGAAGCGGGCCTCTGTTCTCGTGCGAAGCGCCAGGGTAATGGGAGTCATGAAATCTACAAAAAAGAAATCCTTCATTGCAGGATCTGGTTCATAACCAGTCAGTATTCAGTTGGAATGTAGAGTATGCCTTCACTCGGCATTTGAGGGTACGGATCATAGTGCCGAGGACTCAAGCGACATAATTAAAGCTAAGGTGGAAAGCTTGCGGTAGCACCATGCAACGATACGATCTCTTTGTGAGTCTGTATGGTTCTGAAAATTACTCACAAAGAGATCGTATCCTTGCATGGTACTTCCGCAAGCTTTCCACCTTAGTTGTCTGTCGCCACGAATAGCTTGAAATCACATAATTAAAGCTGTTCATTCCTCGCTTGTGGCTTCTTGAAACTCCCCCAGAAACCCAGTTACTGTAACGGGAGAGATGAATTGTGGTAAAACTTCCTGCTTAAGGACACAAACATGTCAAATCCCCAGGCTGGCTGGATCACCTTAACATTTTACCACCTCGGCTTTATCGTGAAATTTAGAATCTTTTCTAAAAACTTGGTCGTTTTGGCCCTCCTCAGCACGACTTCCCGTCCGAGTTGGAACTCCAGATGGAAGTGGAACGCCTGGTGGTGAAGGAGTTTGCCGTGGACATGCAACAGAGCAACGTGTCCAACCACGAGGCGATAGTCACCACGGGGCCGTCCCGGCCCACCTACAGTAAGACACCCAGGACCTCCCGAAGCAAAAAGAACACCAAACACAAGTAAGTCGAAACTATGTTCATGAGTTTGAGCAACACGGTTCTGTTTTGCACCTAACATTAGGTGCGCAGCTCAGTGATAGAAAGCCAATGGAGGAGTTGTGGGCATGCTTTTTGATTTTGTTTTTGAGAAAGATCCTACTGGGACTAAAACGTCAGGCCCTCCAACTTTTTCGATTTGTACATTTCGTGTCGCTGTAGCCAGCCAGCAGTTTGCCATGGCTTTTTGTGTTTACATCGCAGCAAAATGACTTGATTCCTCAGTAAATTTACTTTATTTGTTTCTCGAGGTTATAAAGGCCACATGGACCTGTTGCCGATTTCACAAAACTGTGCATAACGTCGTATCTCGAAGCCTTGCACGGAAAGCTTGTTGCACAGGTTGCAGATAACGCTTGTGAAATGTCAAAACTTGTTGTTCAACTTTTGAAAAAAAATTTGGCCTGTGTGAAGTTATGCCGTTGCATAAAATTTGGTGACATCTGCTGCCAAGACAGATGGCCAATTTGAAAGTGTTCAACAATGTGGTCTTTATATATGTTAGTGTGACCGGGAAAACAAAGAAATAGATGAGTGAAGGTCCATATGGGTCATTCCGTGAAGTTTGGGCACAGTTTGTGACGGTGTCCCTTGTTACATCGGCAACTTTGATTGCCCTTTATTTTCACATTACAACAGATTAAGTTATTATTAATCGGCAAAGATGAAGCACACCACTACAAGAACCTAGCAAGATTTAGAACAATGTCAATTTAGAATCCACATGCAGGGAAAAAAGGTGTTTATTTTCACTGATGTAACAAGGGACGCCGTCACAAACTGTGCCCAAACTTCGTGGAATGACCCATATGCAAATAATGCAAATAAGGGATTCCGTTCATTGTTAGTACTGAGCTGTTGGTGGCAGCAGACGCACTGGCTCTTTTTCACAGTGTTGAACTATGAACTCTGAACTATGTACTCATGCTCGGAACAACACACAAACATGCTCAGAACTGGGACGGACCAGTATGATTGCTGCCGTCAAGCGTCTCATAGTCTCCCAATGCTTTGTGAATTTCAAGAATGCTATAGAAGACAATTGTAGCCTTGCTTGTAGGTAACTTAAAACCAAAACGATCAGTGCTTTCGAATGAAAGTGGACTTGTTTGGTGGTTGTCCTGCCAGGGCCCGTCTACCAGACTACCTTTTGGATTTTGGCTACGTCGTCCTGGGCACGGTCCGCACCCACATAGTGCGCGCCACCAATACAGGCTTCTTCGCGGCCTCCTTCTCCGTGGACCGGACTGGCCTGTCCGGCACTGGCTTCAACGTGGAGCTAGACCGCGTCCGGCAGCTGCCAGGCTACCCCGAGCATGAGATGGTGGACTTCAGGGTCAGCTTTGACCCCCGGGGAGCAAACCTAGGGCTTGGTGATGTCCAAGCTGTCGTCCCCATCAATGTACGTAAACACATGCAGCACCCACTGTTGGCATTTTGGTATATGAAATCCAGGAAAATGAACATTATTAAGCTTGCATTAATCTGTTTGCATGCATAGTTAGATAACTAACGTTTCTGTTTTGTTGGAAATATACATTCAT